GCCAATCGACAGCTGGTCAAGAGGAATTCGCCGTCGTCTTCTGGTGGAACCGACCTTCGAATCTTTTCACTCAACACTTCTGCTCGAAATGGAAGTAATCCCAACAAACCTGCCTTAATCGCTTAAGTAGTTTGGACTTAATTCTGGCGTTATTCCCTACACTTTAAAATGGTAGCATTGAGAATCGGGAAATTTCACAAGACATTCGTTTAATTAACTTGATGGTTAAAATATATATATAGAGGGTGTGATGGTGATCATCAAACCTTGATGGCCGAGAACAAACATTACCTTTGCTGTCCTAATTACTATGAACCATCACTGCTGGTTTCGTACATATGTGAATACATGCAGACACATACAGAGACAGACACACTCACATGCTCCGAGGTTGACGCACGACTGGAACTAGCCAAATCACTTTATACCTCATCAAAGAGCTTAGATATAAAGTATATATACAGCATTTTAGGGATGAGCCGGTGAGTTTTCTTGACTCGTTAGCTTGAATATAGTTGTAAGGATGATACCCTGCTCTAATGATGCTCGCCATAAGAAGGACAAAAGCCTAGCACGCTTTCACCAGAATCGAAGCAGCGTGAACAAGAATGTTCCAGTAAAGCCAATCGACAACCGGCCAAGAAGATACAGCCATCGTCTTCTCATGTGATCGACCTTCGAATGTCTTTACCAAACACTTTCACTCGAAATGGATGTGGGCTCAACAAAATTCTAAAGCCATATCATAGTCACCCGGGATACGATAAATAGAATAAAATATCTCGACTAAAGAAAAAAAGCTTTGGCTTGAAATATCCGCCAGAACAGTAATATTTCGTTGAGCTCACTTCCATTTCGAGTAAGTGTGGTAAGGAGATTCGAAGGTTGATACCTCCAGAAGACGTCGAGTGGTTCCTCTTGGCCATCTGCTGATCGGCTGTACTAGAACATTTTTGCTGACGTTGTCTCAAAAATAATCACTGGGATCGAAGGAAATCGAATAGGGGACTGCGTCACCAATAAGCCAATAAACAGCTGGCCAAGTTAAGTACCCCATTGTCTTCTGGTAAGATCGATCTTCCATTCTCTTTATAGCATAATCTCACTCCAAATGTAAATGAGCTCAACACTTGTAAACCAAGAAATTTCTCCAAACCCACCTTTCCTTAGCATATAAGTACAAAATAGAACAGAGCGGTTTTCTATAAAGTTATTCATATATCAATAGAAGTGGGTTGACCTCGTTGTCGCAACTTGGTCTTGTTCTCAGGGCGACCATGTAGAACGCACC